TTTTTTTTTAAGCGCCGACAATCCCGTACACAGAAGTCACGCATTTGTCCATGTGTGTTCATCTATGTTGCCTCCCCTTATCCTTGCATAATGCCACTCCACTCTATCCTCTTGCAACCAACCGCAGGAGCCCTCTCCTGCCTAGGGGTGTAAACGAGTCGAACACGAGTGAGCCATGCTCGTGTTCGGCTTGTTTATATTTCGAGCTCAAAAAGTATGCTTGTGTTCGGCTTGTTTATATTTCGAGCTCAAAAAGTATGTCCATGTTCGGCTCGTTTTCTTAACAAGCCGAACACGAGCTGTTCACGAACAAAGAGTCCTTTTAACAACCCTAATCATGTAATCATAAGATATAAGACAATAAGGATTTGAGCAAGATTTAAATATTATTATTTATATCAAGATTTAAATAATCTAATTTAATAATTTTTATTCTTTTTTCTTAGTCAATATTTTAATTGATTATAAATTTTTGTAGCCTTTTAGTCAATTAGATTTTTTTAAAATACTACTTAATATATATACATAAACTTGATGAGTAGTATTTCGAGCCAAAACGAGCCGAACACGAACGAACACATCTTAGTTCGTGTTTGGCTCGTTAACTTATCGAACGAAATTAACAAGCCGAACAAGAGCTTCTTAACGAGTCGAACACGAGCTGTTCGCGAACAACGAGCCGTTTTGACAGCCCTACTCCTGCCTGAATGCTATAGAGATACAATCGGGAAAGCAACTCCAGGATCGCAGCGTACAGAGAACCTTCGTGATCAAACCCTATGAGGCAGTTGTGTTGGGAAGGCGATGACGTGACCGAACCTGTGATATAGTCACAATCTCGGAGCAAAAATGTGAGCGAACCCAAGCGATATATGAAGGCAAAGACAGTTGTGATAATTGCAATCTGGAAGGCGATACGTGAGCAAAGATGAGACCAAACTTATGATACAGTCGCGATCTGGAAGGCGAGATGTAGGCGAACCCTAAGATACAAGGATACGAAGACGATAGGTAGCTAGATCTGGCTCTGATACCAAATAGAAAGATTTTGCTCAAAAGTTTTTTTTGTACATTTATAGCATGTGCTTAAATAGTTTACAACATTTTATAAACTAACCCCAGACTTCTTCAATATTCTTTTTTTCCCATAGGACCGAAAATAAGGTCTAATTCTCAACAATTTACAGCCCTATTAGTGTAGCCGGAATTTGGCATCTTTCATCACACATCACAGTATCAAGCAATGGGTTGCATTGGCATTTAAGAAAGCAAGAGCTATGTTGTACTCAATTCAGAGCCTTCACGGCCTAGGCCAAAACTTCTGCACTTTGGGCCAGATATAGTATTTTAAACGTTAAATTTCAACTACTTTATTTTTTGTCTTGATTCATACAGACTATCTCATTTAGAATTTGACCTTAAAATGGTTCACACTATGAGTTTGGCTTGTTATTTGGTTAGGACCTGATTTTGCAGGTCAGAGTTCCTTGCCTGCTAGGGTTGTTAAAGGTCAATCTGCTGGGTCAATAAACTTACGTCTATTTTGCATGTGAATTTTCCTTCATGCTTTTCTAGGTCATCACTTGAAAACTTTTTGTTTACCTAAAGCTAGTTTTTGCCATCATATTAAAGTAACTTGACCATATGGTCATCGATTCTTGAATATTCAGCGAATTCTTACAGTTTCTCTTACATCAGAATATGTGTAAACTGCTTTATCTTGGTAACTATTGGGAGTAACGGTTTGCTATTTGCATTTATTCTCATTCGGTTCTCTTATTTAATACTTCAGATATGGAAAGAGCAATTATTAGAGATTTGGTGTCTCGTATACTCCACTTTGCGCCTCATCTTGTAAAGGCAGTAAATTTTGCAGCTGAACTCGATTGGTAGGGCTAATGCTAAAGTACCATGTCTAGACTCTCAGTTGTCTTATTTGCTCTTTCATTTGTTTGAATGCTTTGGTTATTCAACTTCTTCTATTAGCTTTCTATCTCTGGCACTCATTGCTCGACAAAACAACTATGTGAGGCCTATCTTGACTGAAGATTCACTTATAGACATACAAAATGGCAGGTTGTTCTATTTCTTTAATAACAAACTCAAGCTTGAATTTAAGTTTCATTCTTTGTCTTTTCTACCATGGCTGCCTGCTTAATTTCTTGTTGCGAAACACATAGGATGATATTTTAAAGTTAAATATATTAGTTTTTCCCCATTCCTGCATGAATTGAGAAGAAACTTTTTAAATAAACAATGCAGTGCAACTAATTCTGTTTGCGGACAGGCATGTCTTACAGGAATTGACAGTGGACACTTTTGTTCCAAATGATACAAAGATATCAAATGATGGTAATTAATAAAGGTCTACCTTTTTCTGAATTATAACTTTTTTGAGTTTTATGAGGCGTTTTATCTTTCTCAGGGAGGATAAACATAATCAGTGGTCCTAACTATTCCGGAAAAAGCATATATGTTAAGCAGGTCAAACATGTTAAATGATATTTCACTGTTGGATTGCAAAGACCTGACCCCTGAAACATTAAATTATTGTTTTTTGTTTGTTTGCAGGTCATTTTGAATTCACCTATGACTTGCCTGCTCACCCAAAATATTATTTGTTTCTCTTGCAATGTTTTTTGGTGGCATTTTGATTTATTGTTATTATAAATGCATCATTTTTGCCTTTGCCAACTCCCGGCAATTGTTACATTTTTTAGCCGTGCAGGGGTGATCTTTTGCATTCGCCTTGGTGGGGGTGACAGACAGGATTTGCTCCTTAAACATTCCATTAGGGGATTTTTCCTGCCTACATGGCGAGCCGAACCCTATGGCCCCTTATTCTACTTTATTTGAAATAAATTAGGGTTTTTCTGACTAAGTATAAATGTGTTGTCTAAAATCTATTAAGAGGACTTCTGCTTGGATTTGAGAAAGAACTCCTAAAATGGACAAATACTTTCTGTGTGATATGACCATATAATTCTCTATACAAAACCGTCTCTTGCTATGGATTTTATTGATGATAATTGACTCCAAATTTCATTTTAACGAACGTCTTATCGTGAAGTAATAATTAGGGTAACAATGGAAATTATATATGTTCTACAGTTCATACGACATGTATTTTGCTTCAAACTCAGGTAGCTTTGGTGGTCTTCCTATCACATATTGGAAGCTTTGTGCCAGCAGATGCAGCTATCGTTGGCTTGACCGACAGGTTTGGCCTCTTTTTGTAAGGAAAAAATCACTGATGTTTTTTTCCCCCTTTTCAACTTTGTCATGGTGACTTGGGCATATTGTGACAGGATTTTTTGTGCTATGGGGAGTAAGCCAATGACATCAGATCGGTCTACTTTTATGATTGATCTTCATCAAGTAGGCATGATGCTTAGGTAAAATACGCTTCTGGTCATACTATTGCCTACCTTGGATCTTTTTTATTAATCATTCTCTACGACCCTAACAGGCATGCAACACCTAGATCTTTGTGCTTATTGGATGAATTTGGAAAGGGTACTCTAACAGAAGGTTAACTACTCGAGCGCCTTTTTGTGCTGTGTGTTTCCTTGTTACCATGGGCATTGGTAATAAGAAAGATATACGGACATATCATTTAATTCTAATGTATTGACATATCTAAAACCTAAACTTCAATTTTTACATATATGCCACCATTTTTTTGCTTGAAAAGTTGTATTTCACTTTTTAAAATTTAAAATAATGATATTTTTTTATGTGATAAGAAAAATTTGGGTTGTGTAAATGTAAAATGTAAAGTTTAGGCGTTAGATATGTAAATACATGTGAGCTGGGTGGTATGTATGTAAATGCCCCTAGTAATAAACATCCACCTTTGCTGAAAGTGTCTAATGCAGATGGTATTGGGCTGCTTGGAGGTGCTATAGATCATTTTGCTAACTATGTGCATCCCCCAAAGGTTACGTTAATTTTTTTTATGGCAGTTATAAGATATTGATGGCATGCATAGTTTGGTAAATAATCTCTTAGGTAAACATGTCATGGCTCACAATGATCAGAATTCCTGTCAGAAACCTTTCTTTTAACTTACCATGCTAGAAGGTTATCTACCACAAGTAGGGCTGTCAAAACGGCTCGTTGTTCGCGAACAGCTCGTGTTCAGCTCGTTAAGAAGCTCGTGTTCGACCCGTTAATTTCGTTCGATAAGTTAAGGAACCGAACACGAACTAAGATGTGTTCGTTCGTGTTCGGCTCGTTTTGGCTCGAAATACGACTCATCAAGTTTATATATATATATTAAGTATTTTAAAAAAATCTAATTGACTACAATGCTACAAATATTTATAATCAATTAAAATATTGATTAAGAAAATAGAATAAAAATTATTAAATTAGATTCAAATGATGTTTTAATATAAATAATAATTTT